GTTTTTTTTTATTTCAACAGTGAGCTACAAAGACAATCAGATTATGAATGAACAGTATGAAATTCATCAACATTGAAATGTATTTTATTATCAAAATAATATTTAACTGTTATTAAAACAAGCTTGCTCTGTTCTCTCACTGAAAGAATAACTTTTACCACGTTTTTACAGACAATATTGAGAGATAAATAGCAGTTGTCACTATGTGTTAAATATCTTTGCCTTCAATACCTTAAATTAGAAAGCTGACAGTCATATTGCTTGTTAACATCTAAATGTAACTTTTTGCATGGAAAAAACCCTCAACTTCACTGATGTGTAGGTGATCTAGTATTTAGTATTGTTTAATGGAATGTATATCAGTGTATTAAAGTCAATACTTCATTTATTTAAACCAATATCTTTCTTGATTCTTTGTACAGTATTTGTACCTGTGCTGAAGTTCACTGCTGTGAGGAGTCCAGTTCTGTCTCTCACTCTCTGGTCCATCCTGTCTGCATCACCTGGACACTTTAAACAAACAGATATATATGTAAAGTACCATGTGTACAAACAATATAACTGATTATCTTCTGTTGAACATGTTGGATTGTGTATTGGTCGAGTCAGGGTCCTTTTTATTTTACTGTAACTTTGGAAGTTGTGTTACCAATGCTTACTGTTTATTTGATACCAATTTGGTAATGCAATTAATAAAAACAACAAGGTTTGGGTTTGTTCTTCAGATGACTGTGATGTTAACGTGTAAGCTCAATAATGAACTCCAGCTCAACCAACCATATTATAATATCTAAGTAATCATCTTGAAATATGACATTAATAATTGTAATATACACACATCTTATTGTGAGGTTGATTTCACATACACTACTTCGACGTTAGCTTGTCTACATACTAGAGCATAGCCAATTTAAATTAACCTTAGCGATGCATACAGTTCCTACCTACATAATAAAATATCTCTCTAAGTTACAAGGATGACCTTATTTTATCAACCTCAAACAGAAGCCTTTTGTTCTACAGTATTATCCCACTTAACGCTTAACACTTGTCTATTTCATTTTAACCTTTATATATACAGTCTATGGTTTTAAGTTAACTTGGAGGCTAAGATTAGCATCGTTAGCACCGATGTAGCTACCACTCGCTTACACGCTAACCCAAGCCTTAACATTCATTACGTAGCTGATTGAAATCATAAACACATAAATAAAGTACTCGAATTTCACTTACCGCAAAACGGCATTCATGCACCGTCTGTTTTAAGCGCAGAGCGAGTCACAATAGCCCGATATATAAGCATGAAGAACAAACAAACACGGCCGGGGTCAAGTTGTGTTCCCTGGATGAACTGAGCAGGCAGATTCCCTGTAGCTTCACGGAGACGGAGCGGCTAGCAGAGAGACAGGAAGCTAACAGCAGCAGTCACTTGACAGAGCTGTCACTCAATGTGACCACGCCCTAATTTATGCAAAAACTTTAAGACCTAATATAAATAAAAGGGTCATGTTAGAAAACAATTCACTCACAGATTCATAATCATGAAGGTGGAATCTAACTATATGCATAATAATATTTATTGCATCCAGGGCTAGAAACGTTTTTTTGCTGCTGTGAAATTGGGCATTTTAACATTGGGGTCTATGGAAATTGCTCCTTTTTGCAGTCATCGCCTATCGGCCAATATATGAACTGCAGTTTGTGGCACTTCCGTATTGGCGTCCCGGCTCTTCCCCAGAGTTTGCCGCTTGATCAAAACTCAACAACGCCCAAAAACCAGGTCCTCACTTTGATACCAAACTGGCTTGAAAAGTTGTATTTTCCTTTTGTTTTTAAAAATAAGCTGAGGTGGTAACTTAATTCAGGGGGCCACCTAGTGCTGAAATGCAGAATTAACTTCTCTCTAAGAATAGCAGAAAGGGTGGTCCTCACTCCCCATGTTAATTGACCCGGTCCTCACTTGTGTGTGTGTGTGTCTCAATTTGTGGGACGTGGGACAAATAATAAAAATGCACACACACACACACACACACGACGCTGCCCCTCACACACCACACACACACACACACACACACACACACACACACACACACACACACACACACACACACACACAGTGCTGCCCCTCACACACACGCGCTTCAAATCAAGTTGCATAAATGCTTGAGCTACATTTTTATTATAATTACTGTGAAATCTGTGTATAATGTTTTCGTCATTATTACAACAAATACACACTTGCAATTATTTTATATTTATTAGACTGTTCAAAAAAATCATGCTTCAAATAAGTGGACCCCCGCGTCCAACGCCCACTTCACCACTGTGTGTGTGTGTGTGTGTGTGTGTGTGTGTGTGTGTGTGTGTGTGTGTGTGTGTGTGTGACCATAGATTGTATAAAGGTCGTTGCAGGTAACCAGGAAACAGGGGACAAGGTGGGAGACTCGGAAGTTGGCTAGAAGGGGACGCTGGCGTGTTTTTCTCCGCTCTTCTTGCCGACGCTTATTCCTCGTGTCTATCACTCCCTGCCCGTCAATTCTTTTCACATACTCAGAGAAAAAGATTGTTTCTGCTCTGGTTTGTGTTTCTGCCATACTCCGTTGATCAGCAGGCCGATTATGTGTGTGTCTGTGTGTTCTGTGGCTGTGTGTGTGTGTTTGGTTGGTCTTGTGTGTGTGTGTGTCTGTGTGTCTGTGTGTGTGTGTGTGTGTGTTGTGTGTCTGTGTGTGTGTGGTGGGCTCTTCTGTGTGTGTGTGTATGTGTGTGTTGTGTGTATGTGTGTTGTGTGTCTGTGTGTGTGTCTGTGTGTGTTGTGTGTGTGGTGTTGTGTGTGTGTCTGTGTGCTGTGTGTGTCTGTGCTGTATGTGTGTGTGTGTGTGTCTGTGTGTGTGTGTGTGTGTGTGTGTGTCTGTGTGTGTGTGTGTGTGTGTCTGTGTGTGTGTCTGTGTGTGTGTGTGTGTGTGTCTCAATTTGTGGGACGCGGGACAAATAATAAAAATGCACACACACACACACACACACACACACACACACACACACACACACACACACACGCTTCAAATCAAGTTGCATAAATGCTTGAGCTACGTTTTTATTATAATTACTGTGAAATCTGCGTATAATGTTTTCGTCATTATTACAACAAATACACAATTGCAATTATTTTATATTTATTAGACTGTTCAAAAAAATCATGCTTCAAATAAGTGTCCAACGCCCACTACACCACTGTGTGTGTGTGTGTGTGTGTGTGTGTGTGTGTGTGTGTGTGTGTGTGTGTGTGTGTGTGTGTGTGTGTGTGTGTGTGTGTGTGTGTGTGTGTCCATAGATTGTATATAAAGGTCGTTGCAGGTAACCGAGGGAACAGGGGACAAGGTGGGAGACTCGGAAGTTGGCTAGAAGGGACGCTGGCGTGTTTTTCTCCGCTCTTCTTGCCGACGCTTATTCCTCGTGTCTATCACTCCCTGCCGTCAATTCTTTTTCACATACACAGCGAAAAGATTGTTCTGCTCTGGTTTTGGTGTTTCTGCCATACTCCGTTGCTCAGCCGATTATGTGTGGCTGCTGTTTAGCTCCGAGCCTCTACCGTCCTGCCAACAGCAAAACGAGCTCACCGTCGTGCTCTGCTATCCGTGGAATCCCCGCTCCGGAATACCCCGACTGGGCTCCTCTCTGCCCCGCTCCCAGGACTATCGACGAACCCTCCCTCAGTCCTGCCATCTCAACTGGGCTGTTTTCCATCACCGCTGCTGAGGTTCGAGGTCCGGTTTCTACAGGCCCTGTTCTACGGGGGTGCATAAGGGTGCATTGCACCCTCAGTTGAGTCGTTATGCACCCTCATTTGAAAAATTAAAAAAAGAAAAAGTGAAAAATATTACATATATAATAACAATAATAATAATAATAATAATAATAGTAGTAATAATAATAATAACAACAATAAGAAGAAGAATATAGTAATTGTGGTTAAATAACATTGTCTGCTGCATTTATTTGGTCAATTTAAACGGTAACGTTATTATGTCAGGTGCGCGTGACCTGTGCCGCTGCGCATTTTTGTTCTGGAACCGGGCCTGGGTTTCTACCAGGCTAATGGTGTTCTTCCCACATGCCCCACCCCGGAACCTGCGGTCTTCAGACTCTGGCCCCCCGCACCAACCTGTGAACCTTCGGGGATCAAGCCTTCAGTGTGGCAGCCCCCACTCTCTGGAACGCTCTCCCTGCGGAGATGCGCAACATCTCCACGCTTGACGCCTTCAAAAGACCCTCAAGTCCCACCGTCTGCCAAGGCCGTCTGACTGCCTTTTGTTTCTGTTAGGTTTGTTTCTAATCCTGTTCCTTGTAGAGCGACCTTAGGTCTCAGAAAGGCGCTAGATAAATCCAAGTTGTTATTATTATTATTATATAATTACGATATATATTTTGTTTTAAATGTTAAAACTGTTAAAACAGTTTAGGAGGGTTAGGGTTCAATGGTTTAAAAAAGTGGATTTAATTAGAAAATGTAACTCATCATTAAACTCAGGATGTTGGATTTGATTTGTAGATCTTCTCGTTAACCTCAACAGACGCTGATGACTTGAATTGATTTCTGTTCATATTCCTGTCTAATGAACTTCCCCCCCCCCCCCCCCTCCTCTTCCTCTCTTCAGATTGGTCCAGCCCGCTTCAGAGCTCCAGAGCTTCTCTTCAGACCCGATCTGATTGGAGACGAGTCCTCTGGGTTTTGGCGTACGCCATCCAGAAGTCTGACATGGACCTGAGACGCACGCACGCTGCACTCCACCATGTGCTATTGTTCATGTTCATATTCTTGTTCATATCCTTGTTCATATCCTTGTTCATATTCTTGTTCATATTCTTGTTCATATTCTTGTTCATATTCTTGTTCTTGTTCTTGTGCATATTCCGCATATTCCTGTTTATATTCCTGTCTAATGAACTTCTCCCCCCCTCTTCTCCCCCCCCCTCTTCTCCCTCCCCCACAGAGAGCCTGCTATCTGTCTCTGAACCCTCAGAAAGACGAGACTCTAGAAAACAGAGAAGGCTCAATATGTGCTTCCTGACGGGAGCACGCTGAACGTGAGTCAGGAATACTCTTCCTCCTCTTCCCTCCTCCTCCTCCTCCTCACTCACCTTCTATGTAAATACTGCTATGTTTTTATAGCTTTCCTAAAATACTTCTATCTGTGTTTTTATTTTATTTTCCATCTTGCAGTGGCGAGCCGTCAGGTCCTCTCTGAGGGCCTAAGATATTCTACTAAATAATATTTAAAAACATTAAAAATATATATATTTTCTTTAATATATATTTTTTAAATATGTTTTTAGTTATATTTTTCATTAGTTTCACCAAAATAACTTGATTTAATTGTATTTAAAATAACATTTCCAAAGAAATATATCCTTTGAATCTGCCTGTTCAGTTTGAATGTGAAGGGTTAAATGAAAGCAGCTCGTCTCTGCGAGGTGAAGACAGGAGCTGATTGGTCCTGCTGTGAATTCACAGAGGGTCGCTATAGTAACTGAACGAGAGAGTAATGTCAACTGACAGTACAATTGACCAATCATATCTTCCCTCTAAATGGGTGGGTTTTAATTATCGCGGACTTTATGACAAGTTCCGCCCGCTGTGAAGCTTTTCTTGTTTCCATAGCAACAACAACTTCCTGTCAACAGCGTGAACTCGCCTTCAAAATAAAAGCATGCCAAATTACACTTAAGACATACAACTGTAACGAAAGTAACAAACACAATGCAATATCATTTTCAATGTCAAAGAACACACATTGGGTTCACAGGTGTTGTTCTGTGTGGTAGAGGGTCGCTGTCATTGATGCGTTTTGCACCCCGGGCCGTTGTTCTGATATTCCGCTGAAGTATACGCTGTGACGTAATAACTTGAGGGAAGGGGTGGAGGTCAGAGGGCCTAGGTATAAAAGTCACGGCTCGCCACCGCCATCTGGTAATAAACCTGTTTCCTCCTCCTCCTCTTCCTACCTCTCCCTCCTCCTCTCTTTAGATTGGTCCAGCCTGCTTCAGAGCTCCAGAGCTTCTCTTCAGACCCGATCTGATTGGAGACGAGTCCTCTGGGATTCACGAGGTTTTGGCGTACGCCATCCAGAAGTCTGACATGGACCTGAGACGCACGCTGCACTCCACCATCGTGCACCCTCATCAAAGGTGGGTCAGGAACACACAGTGTGAGGTTTTATGCATGGATCAACGCTGAAAAAACTACGGAAAAAACTACAAAAACCTTTAAAAGCTGCAGTTTGGTGGGGTGGTTGTGCAGCGTAGCATCATGGGAGTTGTAGTCTTCAGTGGTAAAAACCTCAGTTATACAAATGTGTCATAACTTCCTTTTTTTCTTCTATCTTCTGTATATATATAAAAAAAGGAACTTGAACACAATGTGTGATTTTCAGCGACTAGGGAATTAAAGGTCTTTTAGTGAAAACAAGCAGCGTAGCATCATGGGAGTTGTAGTCTTCAGTGGTAAACAGGGAGTGTCATAGCTTGCTTTTTGCTTCTGTAAAAAAACTACAACATGTGTTTTAAGAAGCAGCGTAGCATCATGGGAGTTAAGAGAGACAGCAAAGAGAGTAAATAAAGGATAAGAGGCATTACAATGTTTGAGTTTTATAATATATAATATATATAAATAATTAATCAAAATGCCTCTTGAGGGCATGAAGTGACAAAAACTTTCAACATGTCTCCATTAAAGCCCATTGTTCTTCAACAACACGTTCACATGTAAGAGGTTTATCTCTCATTCAGATCAATGGAAAGGCTCTCCTCTCACTGATTACTGCACATCACCATGGAAACCTTTGATCTCTGGGCTCAAGCACAGGTGTTTCATAACGTCGTTAGCTCAAACATAAACACCTGTGTGATGGAACTCGATGATGTCATAACTCCAACTGACATGCTCAGAACGCCACAGTACATCACATGATGGTTAACACTGTGGCCCTGAATAGTTCTACATCAAATCTGATGTTACGTAATGTGGTGTTACTATGGCAACGCATCCCTCGCCATAAAACACGATGTCGCTGTAACTCCAATGGACACGGTCCAATCGTCCCCCAATCTTCACCTGTATATCACCGGTCCATGCCTCAACAGCTCTACGCCAAATCTGAGATCTCACCATATGCCGTTTCCATGGAAACGCATCCCTCGCCATTGTTTGTTTGTTTGTAGCCTTTATTTAACCAGGTTAAAAAATCCCATTGAGATCAACGATCTCTTTTTCAAGGGAGACCTGCGGTACATTAGTTACACATAAAAACAACAGAAAACAAAAAGGACATCACAACATAATTACAGGGGTATAAATTAGCAACCTATTTACAGTGAGAGCCATAAAACACGATGTTGTCGTAACTCATATGAAAATGGTCAAAACACCACCAGACTTCAGATGACAGTTAATGGTCCAGCCTTCAACATGTCAATGTGCCATTAGTGAGTTTTCCTCAAAAGCTGTTGCCATAGCAACGCATCCCTCGCCGTAAAACACGATATTGCTATAACTCCTATGAAAATGGTCAAAAAGTGCTCAAACTTCACATGTGTGCTAACAGTCCAGCTGTGAAGACATCTACGTGACCGTTTTCAGATTTTTTCAAATGCCGTTGCTATGGCAACACAATGCTCGCCATGAAACACGTTTTTCTCATAACTTCAGTGAAAATGTTCCAAACGGCCCAAAACTTCACAGGTTTGGAAACGATGCAGCCATCAACACATTTAAGCGTATTCTGGGGTTTCATCAAATACCGTTGTCATGGCGACAGATCATTCGCCATCAAGTTAGTTCAATAGTTTGCAGTTAAAATATTCTGCTGCTTTTCCAAGCCTTTTTACTTTCTTCTCTCATCACCCATTCAAGCCCCCAGTGTTCATGTATCATTTCAATCTAAATTCTTCACTTTCTTCTTACACATTACATTTCAGCATAGCAGTTCAGCGTCAGCTTTTCAGCATAGAGCATTCTCACTAGCAATTTCTTCAGGAATTGCATTCTCTAGTTTACTGTTGTTGTTCTGTGTTTAAATGCTGTGTGTGTTTGTTTCCCCAGATCTCTGCTCCTCAGGAGAGGCTGTACTCCACATGGATCGGGTGAGAACTCAGTGTTTCATTCACTATTTTTGTGCCATTTTAATAAAAATGTTTTTAATTGAGACACTTTTAGTAACTCCACTACTTCCTACTGCTGCTAATGAGCTTTTCTCTGCATTATGTCACCCTTCAGAGGCTCCATCCTGGCGTCGTTGGACACCTTTAAGAAGATATGGGTTTCAAAGCGTGAATATGAAGAAGACAGAGCGCGGGCCATCCACAGGAAGACCTTCTAGATCCAGAGGGTCCCAAAACACCCCGAAATACTGCAGGAGACCCCTACACTTCCGCTTATCCACCCCCAGAGAAACATGCAGGAACCTGTGTTTTTCCTTATTTACCTGCTTCTTCATTCCCCCTGCACACACACACTTACACTCTCACACACACACACACACACACACACACACACACACACACACACACACACACACACACACACACACACACACACACACACTCACACACAGACACACACACACACTCTGAAGTATTGGTATTGCTCTCTTGCCTCCTCTCTGCAGGCGGTTCAATATCATCAAACGTTAAATAAATCTAAATGTGGAAATTCCTTAAAAGTTAGATTTTCTCACATTTCGTTGTTATTTTATATTCTAAATATTCAGAGTGTGTGTGTGTTAGGGATGCATATCGTTGACTTTTTTACGATACCGATACCGATACCACTGAACGATACATATCGTGATACTTTCATGTTGCCCTTTCACAGCGTAGGGTATCACCTGCTGAACTGAACACTCTCTCGCTTGGCACGCTGCTTCCCTGAACACAAAGGTACTTGGTTGCCATACGAGACAGCATTGGTTGGAGGTTGGATGTGTTGCCACCTTTCCCAGAAATAAACTTCTTGCAGTGGTTACAGACCCCACCATTCAGACTGGCAGTGGTTACAGACCCCACCATTCAGACTGGTAGTGGTTACAGACCCCACCATTCAGACTGGTAGTGGTTACAGACCTCACCATTCAGACTGGTAGTGGTTACAGACCCCACCATTCAGACTGGTAGTGGTTACAGACCCCACCATTCAGACTGGCAGTGGTTACAGACCGCACCATTCAGACTGGTAGTGGTTACAGACCCCACCATTCAGACTGGCAGTGGTTACAGACCTCACCATTCAGACTGGTAGTGGTTACAGACCCCACCATTCAGACTGGTAGTGGTTACAGACCCCACCATTCAGACTGGTAGTGGTTACAGACCCCACCATTCAGACTGGCTGTGGTTACAGACCCCACCATTCAGACTGGCAGTGGTTACAGACCCCACCAGTCAGACTGGTAGTGGTTACAGACCTCACCATTCAGACTGGCAGTGGTTACAGACCCCACCATTCAGACTGGCAGTGGTTACAGACCCCACCATTCAGACTGGCAGTGGTTACAGACCCCACCATTCAGACTGGTAGTGGTTACAGACCCCACCATTCAGACTGGTAGTGGTTACAGACCTCACCATTCAGACTGGTAGTGGTTACAGACCCCACCATTCAGACTGGTAGTGGTTACAGACCCCACCATTCAGACTGGCTGTGGTTACAGACCCCACCATTCAGACTGGCAGTGGTTACAGACCGCACCATTCAGACTGGTAGTGGTTACAGACCCCACCATTCAGACTGGCAGTGGTTACAGACCTCACCATTCAGACTGGTAGTGGTTACAGACCCCACCATTCAGACTGGTAGTGGTTACAGACCCCACCATTCAGACTGGTAGTGGTTACAGACCCCACCATTCAGACTGGCTAGTGTTACAGACCCTCACCATTCAGACTGGTAGTGGTTACAGACCCCACCATTCAGACTGGCAGTGGTTACAGACCCCACCATTCAGACTGGCAGTGGTTACAGACCCCACCATTCAGACTGGCAGTGGTTACAGACCGCACCATTCAGACTGGTAGTGGTTACAGACCCCACCATTCAGACTGGCAGTGGTTACAGACCCCACCATTCAGACTGGCAGTGGTTACAGACCCCACCATTCAGACTGGTAGTGGTTACAGACCTCACCATTCAGACTGGTAGTGGTTACAGACCCCACCATTCAGACTGGTAGTGGTTACAGACCTCACCATTCAGACTGGTAGTGGTTACAGACCCCACCATTCAGACTGGTAGTGGTTACAGACCTCACCATTCAGACTGGCAGTGGTTACAGACCCCACCATTCAGACTGGTAGTGGTTACAGACCCCACCATTCAGACTGGTAGTGGTTACAGACCTCACCATTCAGACTGGCAGTGGTTACAGACCCCACCATTCAGACTGGCAGTGGTTACAGACCCCACCATTCAGACTGGCAGTGGTTACAGACCCCACCATTCAGACTGGTAGTGGTTACAGACCTCACCATTCAGACTGGTAGTGGTTACAGACCCCACCATTCAGACTGGTAGTGGTTACAGACCCCACCATTCAGACTGGTAGTGGTTACAGACCTCACCATTCAGACTGGCTGTGGTTACAGACCCAACACTTCAGACTGGTAGTGGTTACAGACCTCACCATTCAGACTGGTAGTGGTTACAGACCCCACCAGTCAGACTGGTAGTGGTTACAGACCTCACCATTTCAGACTGGCAGTGGTTACAGACCCCACCATTCAGACTGGCAGTGGTTACAGACCCCACCATTCAGACTGGCAGTGGTTACAGACCCCACCATTCAGACTGGTAGTGGTTACAGACCTCACCATTCAGACTGGCAGTGGTTACAGACCCCACCATTCAGACTGGTAGTGGTTACAGACCCCACCATTCAGACTGGTAGTGGTTACAGATCCACCATTCAGACTGGTAGTGGTTACAGACCCACCATTCAGACTGGCAGTGGTTACAGACCCCACCATTCAGACTGTGGTTACAGACCCCCATTCGACTGGCAGTGGTTACAGACCCCACCATTCAGACTGGCAGTGGTTACAGACCCCACCATTCAGACTGGCAGTGGTTACAGACCCACCATTCAGACTGGCAGTGGTTACAGACCCCACCATTCAGACTGGCAGTGGTTACAGACCCCACCATTCAGACTGGCAGTGGTTACAGACCCCACCATTCAGACTGGCATGTGGTTTACAGACCCCACCATTCAGACTGGCAGTGTGGGTTACAGCACCGCACCATTCAGACTGGCCAGTGGTTACAGACCCCACCATATCAGACTGGAAGTGGTTACAGAACACTCACACCATTCAGGACTGGTAGTGGTTACAGACCCAACCATTCAGACTGGTAGTGGTTACCAGACCCCACCATTCAGAACGGTATGGTACCCCCTGGCAGTGGTTACAGACCCCACCATTCAGACTGGTCAGTGGTTTACAGACGCCACCATTAAGACTGGGCAGTGGTTACAGAACCCCAACCCATTAGACTGGTAGTGGTTACAGACCCTCACCATTCAGACTGGTAGTGGTTTACAGACCCCACCAGTCAGACTGGTAGTGTTAACAGACCCCACCATTCAGACTGGTAGTGGTTACAACAGACCTCACCATTCAGACTGGCATGTGGTTACAAGACCCAACACATTCAGACTGGTAAGTGGTTACAGACCCGCACCATTCAGACTGGTAAGTGGTTTACAGACCCCACCATTCAGACTGGCAGTGGTTACAGACCCCACCATTCAGACTGGTAGTGGTTACAGACCTCACCCATTCAGACTGGCAGTGGTTACAGACCCCACCATTCAGGACTGGCAGTGGTTACAGGACCCCACCATTCAGACTGGTGGTTACAGACCCCACCATTCAGACTGGTAGTGGTTACAGACCTCACCATTCAGACTGGTAGCATGGGTTACAGACCCACCATTCAGACTGGTAGTGGTTACAGACCCTCACCATTCAGACTGGCAGTGGTTACAGACCCCACCATTCAGACTGGCAGTGGTTACAGACCCCACCATTCAGACTGGCAGTGGTTACAGACCCCACCATTCAGACTGGTAGTGGTTACAGACCTCACCATTCAGACTGGTAGTGGTTACAGACCCCACCATTCAGACTGGTAGTGGTTACAGACCCCACCATTCAGACTGGTAGTGGTTACAGACCTCACCATTCAGACTGGCTGTGGTTACAGACCCAACACTTCAGACTGGTAGTGGTTACAGACCCCACCATTCAGACTGGTAGTGGTTACAGACCCCACCATTAAGACTGGCAGTGGTTACAGACCCCACCATTCAGACTGGTAGTGGTTACAGACCTCACCATTCAGACTGGTAGTGGTTACAGACCCCACCATTCAGACTGGCAGTGGTTACAGACCCCACCATTCAGACTGGCAGTGGTTACAGACCCCACCATTCAGACTGGCAGTGGTTACAGACCCCACCATTCAGACTGGTAGTGGTTACAGACCTCACCATTCAGACTGGTAGTGGTTACAGACCCCACCATTCAGACTGGTAGTGGTTACAGACCTCACCATTCAGACTGGCAGTGGTTACAGACCCCACCATTCAGACTGGTAGTGGTTACAGACCCCACCATTCAGACTGGTAGTGGTTACAGACCTCACCATTCAGACTGGCAGTGGTTACAGACCCCACCATTCAGACTGGTAGTGGTTACAGACCCCACCATTCAGACTGGCAGTGGTTACAGACCCCACCATTCAGACTGGTAGTGGTTACAGACCCTACCATTCAGACTGGCAGTGGTTACAGACCCCACCAGTCAGACTGGTAGTGGTTACAGACCCCACCATTCAGACTGGCAGTCATATGCAGCCACACTTTAGATTTTCAAAAGTGACTTGGTTGCGGGAACCGGTATGCACCCCTAGTGTGTGTGTTTCCTTAATTACCTGCTTCTTCACCCCCCCCCCCTGCAAACACACTTACACTCTCTCTCACACACACACACACACACACACACACACTCTGAAGTATTGGTATTGCTCTCTTGTCTCGGTTCAATATCATCAAATGTTAAATAAATCTTGAATGTGTTTTTTTGCTACTGTTGACATTTCCATTCCAGATGAGATTTTTATTTGTCCATTTTTTTATTATATTATTATATATTACGTTATAACCACTGTATTATATATCTGGCCTATAAAGTGCACGCCCTCCACCTCTAAAGTAAAAGCGGTTAATTTAAATTGATCTTGTTTCTGTCTGGTTGTAACGATGACATGTTTCTACACGGTGTTTGTGCCGACGAGCAGTCAGCCTCCTTTTGTCTCAGCTGACGGGATTCAAAACTAAAAGTGTACAATTAAAGTGTAGAAAAATCCACGTCTTGATTTATTGTTATCGTTTACATCCACACCAGGTTTCAGCCGACATGATGCACGGTCCAAACGGGAATCTTTTGCCATTTTTATTCTTATTATCGTGACTGAAAACGCATT